AGAGAAAAGAGCCGGAGAGCAACCACCGAAAACGGGCGAAGAGAGGGAGAGCGAGAATTTGAGAGCGGAGAGAGGCGGCGGAGAGATGAAGGCAAACAAAACAAAACGCTTTAAGTGTTGGAAAACACTGCCCGTTGATCTCGGTTGTGGTTTTTTATTCAGCCCTTTTAACTAATAAATCAGTTTCCTGGACTGACCCAATAAACCAATATATGCATAAAACAGTATAGCGTGTAGTTGGCTGTTCAGTTCGTTATCGCCACTTTCGCTTATCGCACACTGCAAAAGTGTAGTGGCTACTTGAGAAACTAGCCCGAAAAAAAAGGCACTCGAGTGGGCAAAAATGATGACAATAAAATAATTACTCTCTTATATAGTGGAGGGAAGTAAACAGTGTTACCAACTATTAAAGATCATATATAAGCTATAGCTGAGCAGTGCTTATATTACTTTCAATAAAAAAGTATAATATAGTACAGTCAAAAATAGCTCGACTAACGTATTCGCTTATATACATATCTACATAAGATATGCATACATTTGTTTTTAGTTTTGTATTAAACCAATTTATTGTTGAAATACGTTTCAAATGAAAAAGTTACCGATAAGAAATCAATACCCGAGTATGATTGATTAAAACACTTGTGAAATGTTGTGTGGATAGTTTCCCGAGTACGGTATAGGGCACTTGCTCACCTTATTCGGGTGGTGGCTAGTGTTCGCCTCGTTACGTCTCATTGACTCCATGCAGACGCAAACGATCGGGCGGCCGCACTGCGCGGGCGGCCCAAAGTACTACCAGTAGTGCCTAGGAACGTGCAGTCGGCGGATGAGCTGATCGGATGGCTTGGGCAGGTGCTGCGATTGCTGGCGCGGATGCGGATGCGGATGACACTGATGGCTGGTGGCGATGAGCTCGGGCGCTGCCTTGTGTGACGAACTGTTGACTTCTTATCCAGGCAACGACGCAGGGAGACACAGGGCCTCGGCCCTCGGGCCAAATGGTTCATTTTCAAAACTGCAAGATGGAGCGAGAGCAGAGGGTACGATTAGTTGTGGCAATGCAATCTGGCTGATATACGGTTAACGCTATAATGAAAAGTGCTGCCCCACTCGATCCAAGTGCTCCAAGTGGTCGACAAGATTAGAGCATTGTCGCTCTTTCAAGTGCTCAATTCAATTGCCGCTTATCGGCGGCGATCGCCGCCAATCAACGTGTTTGAGGTTAACTATAAACCATGGGTGCCTGTGATTTACATGCACTTGTCTGGGGTCATGATACATACATACACATATATATTATAGTAGTATTTATAGAAGGTGGGGGAGGGGGGCACAGGGGGTAGCAGACCCCTTAACGACCTGGTAATTAAGGCACTTTTGCACAATTTACTGATACTCGCACTGATAACGAAACCAACCGGCGGCCTTTCTGGTATACGAGTATCACGGCGACTACTCCCACCGATCTCAAGTGCCACCCAATATGGGGTATATGATTTAAACATTTGCTGCGCGAGCACAGTAGCTGTTGCCGTTCCGATTGGCGATTAGATAACGTCAGTGGCGACGACTCTGGGAATTCTATGAGGGTTTCTACACGTCTACACGTCTATGGCACACCGAAAACGTTGACGTCATCGTTTCCAGCTCACTACTTAGCGCTATTTTTTTTTTATTTATTTATTTCCATGCAAATGAACATTAATGCCAGAACAAATGTCAAGCACAGTTGTCGACTATTAGGCTTAGCTTTATGTTTTTCTAGGCTTTATAAGCTAATGCTCTCTATAACTGAGAAAAATACACAAAAGAGGCTATACAGTTTTCTAGAAATTTAGATAGCACTAGAAGGTTATTTTAAACATTATGTTTCCATTTATTAACCATATGTAAGCAGTACTAATTGGATGAATGGGGAAATCAGTTTTATTATGATACTGTGTTTTTTTTGGCACTTAGTCGACAGTTTTTGTGCCCACTGCCACTTCGTCAATTAAATTGATTGATTGGTTTGCATGAATCTCTGTTGATTCATTCAATTTTTCTCCGCTTCGTACGACTTTAAAGCAGCAACAACAATTAAATTTGCATGTGCTTAACATTTTATGATAATTAAGTGGCACAGACAGCAAAACACGTTTTTTCTGTGTGGGCCGACGATGGATTTTTATATTTCTGCCAACTTGTGTGTTTTTTGCTTTTGTTTTTGCTTGTGTCACCCGAGCTATGTTCGCATTTTCATACTGAATTCTGAATACGGAATACTGAAACTTAATTAATTGAGTTGTTGACTGCGCTCGGCCCGACAATAAAAGCAGCCCACGCATTACGAATTTTTACTACCGCATTTAATCTCATCCAAATGCGAGTTTTTGAGCCCGGACAAGAGCGCTTTCCAGTTCCCATGGCAATCATCTTTTATTCGCCACTGAGCCCCTTCACTCGGACACCGTATAATCCGCTATTACGCACTCCACACGCTCTCCGCACCATGTGGGTGGCACTGCGAGTTGTGGCATGTGGCATTAACGTGCCAACAAGGGGTTAAACCCCGAACGAACAAAAAAGCATTAAAAAAACAAAAGTGAAAGAGAAAGAGAAAAAATAACACAAAACCAAAAACATCCATTGCCGATACTTTTCACAGACGCCGCCAACGAACACGAAGATTGAAACACACCATAATTTAGACAAATCAATAAATTACTAATAGCCCCCGCCACTTTGCTCCATCGTGCGATCGACATTCCACCGAATGCGACCGACGTACCAGGTTCCAAGTTTTTGCGGAGGGCATCAGGGGCATGGAAGAAGGTAACCAGGTAACTTGGCAAGCCCAGGTAGAAACTGGCTGACTGGCTGACGGGCCACCGGCACAAAGACAGCGCCGGTCAGCGTTCAAGTCGTGTTTTAAATTGGGTTTGCGGCCAAGCTCCGATACCATAACACTGCTCCCCACTTCTCCAGTGCTCAGTCAGGGAAAAGATACTAGAATGGCAGAGGCAACTGACAGCGTCTTCTTGTTATGGCCAAAGTTCCTGTCCGCACGTACTAAACATGGGGCAGTACCCAAGAAAATCCACTGGATGCGAATGCAACTATCAGAAATAGCTAGTTTCATGCGAGTAACTTATGCATAATACTACAAATAATTATAAAAACATATTTATAGGTCTTTTATTTGGATCCAAACGTGTAGACCAATTCTTGGTAACAGACTAAGAGAAGTTTATACTTGAGTAACTGATGAGCTAAGGTGAATTGATGCGCTTTAACAACCAAGAGCTAGTTTTCAGAAAGTGTAGCCAAATCACGTCATCGCTGGCAGACTGAGAATCAGCAGGAGAACTCAAAGTCCCCAAGATGATGAAGAAGCCAATGAAGAACAAGGGGCAGTGAGGCTAAAGATTTACGCTAACATCGTCGAAAACATTGGCCGCCGTTCAGATCGTTCGGAATCGCTTGGCTTCATCGTCATCAGCTTGGTTTTTTTTGGGCTGTTGTATCTTTTTTTGTTTCACAAGATGGTTGTTGTACAAGATTGATCCTCTGCGGTTGCTAAATGAACGCCTCCGGGGAGTTGCCAGTGCGCTTTTATTAGCGTTTTTGATCCAGAATGGATCGTAACCACAGCAGCCAACAAGCGGAGACGAAGAGAACGAATGGCTAAAGGCCCAGCATCTGACACACACGCAGATACAGTATACAGTTGTGGTAAAAAGAATAGTGATGCTCATCACGAATAGAAGCATTTCAACTCTTGCATAACCAGATAAAGGATGTTATGGGAGTTTCCTGTGAAATCTTGGTTACTTGGGCACTATTAATAGATATAAGCCGATAATCCCATATTTAAGCCATTGCCTTTCTATTATTTTGACCACTCTATGTGTGCAAATAGCTATCTCTTTGATCCCTTATACGTAATTTATACACAATTGGCAGCATACTATTATTGTGATCCCCATTGTTCCAGCACAAAATACAAAAAAAAATACAGACTGAAATTGCGTTTCGCTAATAATTCTTGACTCTTGTTTCTGTTTTGATTCGGCTCGAATCGCGATAATTTGATTTTCCCCAAGCGCAACCCATGCGATTGCGATTGCGTTGCGTTGGCGGCGGCTGTTTAGGCTCAATACGCTGGAGGCGGCGGCTGCTCGGCGTTCAATTAAATTAAGTGCAGCGGGTTCCCTTTTCGGTTCTTTTCCATTTTTTTGTATTATTATTTTCCTTGTGGCATGCCACACCGCCGCAGAACGAGATGTTTCCAAGTGCTTGGCAACTCAAGTGGCGATCATGCCACTTAGGCAACGGTCTGAAAACGAGCCTCCGATGGAGGGAACTCGAGTCGAGGAGGGAGGGAGGGAGGGAGGGAGAGCTGATCTCGATCCCGGGATAGTAGACACATTCAATTGCCTTTCCAATATATTGATCACTTGAAGGAAATGTGTGTGCGCCCCTTTCAGTCCATTGACGGGGTCTGGAATTTATGACTTCATTCCCTCAACAGATCTTTTGTTCGTGTCACCAGCAATTTGCTGTCCTCAATTACGAGTTACGAGTTTCCCTTTGTGGATCTCGAACTTAATGAGTTACACACAAGTAGATTGGGAAGTAGGGAGCTGTTTATACTTCCCTGATTCCCACCAGGGAATTCAAGAATTATCGATCCATTGAGGGTTCAGAAATTAAGACTCTTGGGCTTTGAATATCGCAAGAGTAAGATTCGTTTAAAAATCAATTCATAAATGTAAAAATTCACTTCAAATATATGTACAATTTGCAATTGTACAACATGTACAATTGATATCACCAATTGAAGTGTAGATTTAATTTTTATATATTTAACAAACGAGAACATTAGCATGGCGTGCTTGTTGCTATCCCAAATTGGCAGTTGTTCAAACTGATAAAGGGAAAACAAGCCAAAAACATTCAACATACCGTAGATATATATAAAACCCTAGCTATATAAATCATAAAATCTGGTAGCCTAGTTGAATTTGTGCCAAAATGCTACCACGTTCGCTGTTGCTTTCAATTGGAGGAGTATTAATACTTTTGATCGTGGACCAGTGCAATGGAAAGGTAACAAACTCAACTCAAACCCCAGCGTTGAAGTTTTATAAAATCTATTGCTCGATCTAACAGCGCAAGTGGGACTACGAACCTCTATCTATTGAAACCTACTCTACGGATGAAAGTATGCTGAAGATAGAGGCCAAAGTGGACCGAGTTGGCCGGGGAGAATATGCCATTTCGGCCAACATCGAATTTAAGTACACGCCAGACGAAAATACCATGGTGAGCACGATGTATTATGTATTGTTAAATCTTAATAATATGTATAATCATGAATTAATAGATGCTAATAAAACCTATTCAATATTGAGAAGAAATAACTTATGAACAACTTGCAGGTTCAAGCATCGGCCTATCGAAGCAGCTCCGGAGAAGAAAACGACTACAAGATTATCCCCCTTAGCATTCCGAAACAGCCATATTCCGAGTTCATGAACAACCACTATAAGGACGTAGTGATACCAAATCTGGGCGGTTGCTCGAATCTGATCAAGTTTGAGGACAAATTCGTGCCTCCGTGGCCACAGAATACGTACGTCTTGGACAAGTGTGTGGCAAACAGTGATGGCTTTCCGGACATTGTTCCTGAGGGGTACTACAAGGTCAATTTCACCATGATGAATCCCGTGGATTGGGGATTCATTCTCATTGTGAAGATATCCACCAAACTTGTCTGATTCCACGTGGGCGATCGCATTTCTATGTATTACTTAATGTACCTATACTATATACGTTATATATCATGTAGAAAGTAGTTGGCATAAATATCAATAAAATCAGTATCAAAGACACTTACAATCTTAATTATTGGTCAATTACAAACACGTTACTGTTCGTTTTACGGAATACAATGTTTGACATCAGTCAGATTAAGTGATCGCAAATATTGTAAAGATCTAGCATACATTGTAGGTTCGTGAGTTTGTCCAATTCAGATTAGTAATGCGGTATATAAGGGTCGGGCTTTCACTGAATGTATCGAGTCCAATTCTAGCGAAATGGCAGCTTCCAACTTTTTTGCAGTCCCAACTAGAATCGGGATTCTGTGTTTATTTCTTCATTTGGCAGGAGCAGCAGTAGGTTTTGCCATACAAATTACTTTAAACACTTACTGATTCTAACGTTTCTAGCGTAAATGGGAGTACGAGCCTGTATCATTTACCACAACCTCTTCGGATGAAAGCAAGTTAAAATTTGAAGCTAAAGTCGTTCGTCTGGGGCGTTCAGATTACGGAATTTCGGCCACCTTAGAGTGGAATTATGACACGAATGAGGAAACTATGGTAGGTAATCAAAAATTATGTATTACATTTGATTTAGTAGTCAATATCTTGACTAGGTTGAGGGCCAAGCGTATCGCAGCAATACGGGCGACGAGAGTGATTACAAGTTGCTACCCTGGGCAATCCCTAAACAGACCTTCTCTGATTACATCAACACCTATTATAAGGATGTGGTCATCAAAAACCTCGGCCACTGTTCCAATCTCCCCAGATTCGAAGGCAAATTTCAGTCGCCCTGGCCAAGAAAGACCTATAAGGTCGACAAGTGCAAGATCAATGGTGATGGACTACCGGAAATCGCTCCGCCCGGATTCTACAAGATTGTACTCACTAAATTTGGTCCCGGACAGCCCACGTGGGGATTCACAGCAGTTATGAAAGTAACTAACAAAATGTTCTAGATCTAGTAATATTAATGGGTTATTAATAAAGGACTACAAATTTCTTTTTTTTGCACTTTTCTATATGCAAAACCTGAATAATTGGAAACCATTTAACTCACTGGAGGTTCTTCCCTGTGGAATCGTTCTGGCGTAATCAAATCGATCAGCATTGTACATTTATTACTATGTACAATATTTTTAGTTTGTGAAATATCCCCGTGCCTGTAAAAATCTGATAACAATGTTGTGCAACGTGTTAACAGTCATTTGGCCAGACTATAAAAACACAGCACATTACTATCCAGTTTCATATTGGCCAAATGGATTCCGGCTACCCGTCAGTCCTAATATTGTTGGCATTGCTGCTAATCAGTAGATGCGAAGCAGCGGTTAGTTCACCTGTTAGTTAACCTGGCGAATTATATTAAACATTTCTTCTAGCGCAAATGGGACTACGAACCTATATCGGTCTCCACCACCTCTTCGGATGAAAGTTTAATAAAGTTAGAGGCCAATATTGTTCGCATAGGGCGTGGACAGTACGGAGTATCAGCCCGGGTGGAGTGGAACTATGACGTAACAGAAAGGACCATGGTAAGAAATTTCAGTAAGGATTTTACCACCTATAACAACATCCTTTTCCCTTAGGTGGATGGTGTTGTCTACCGCAGCAGTACGGGCGATGAGTCCGACTATAAGCTGATCCCTTGGTCTATCCCTAAGCAAAGCTTTTACGACTATCTGAACGGCTTTTATAAGGATATGATGATGAAGAACTTTGCTTCGTGCTCCAATATGCCGCAGTTCAAGGGCAAATTCCAACCGCCATGGCCAAAGAACACCTATTTCGGCAACAAATGCATGATCGATGGCGATGGGTTGCCAGATATGGTGCCACCCGGATTCTATAAGATTATATTTAATTGTACTGGACCGGATCAACCATCATGGAGTTTTGTAGGAATTTTTAAAATAATAAACACAATGTTTTAGCTATGTACCAATAAAAAGTATGAGGTACGATAAATATCATCTAATCAAATACTGCCAAATATTTTTAAAGTCCAAAAAGCGTGCTCGAATAGGTTTTTTAGCGAACTTGAAATCGTTTCTCCATAAAATATAATACACAGAATGTCATAAATAAACCAAAAAGAAAAACATATCTAAAATGATCCATATTGTTTGAATAGTTGACGGAAGCTTTTGTGTTTCAATGCAGTACACGTATTAAATTTGTGTTAAAAGTAGTAATTATATAGGTATGATAAAATGTCATGACAAGGTGCACATATTTTATCTATGGCCCTGGCTATATAAGCATAAAGCCCCATGTCCCATTGCTCAGATTCATATTCTGATGATGTCTTTCCTGTGTTTCATTGTTGAAATTTGTATAGCACTCTTGCTTATAAGCGAGTGTCAAACATCGGTTAAAACGGTAGGTTCAGTATTAATGTCCTCCACATATCGTGTAATATTTTGAAGAATTTTCCAGCGCAAATGGAACTATGAACCCATATCGATCGAAACCAACTCATCCGACGAGAGTCTAATAAAATTAGATGTCAAGATTGAGCGCATTAATCGCGGATTGTTTGGACTGACAGCCAAGATAGACTGGAACTACGATACGACTGACGAAACCATGGTAGGTGTACTTCCTGATGTAGTCGGTAGTCCTGTGTAACAGGATTGAGATCTTTCTGCAGGTCGAGGCCCATGTCCTTCGAAGCTCCACGGGGGATGCCAGCGATTACAAGCTGCTTCCTTGGGCCATTCCCAAGCAATCGCTTTACGACCATCTGAACACCTATTACAAGGATGTGTCAATGAAGAACTTTAAGCACTGCTCCAATATTCCGCAATTCGAGGGAAAGTTTCAACCGCCATTGCCAAAGAAGACTTATTTCGGCAACAAATGCGTGATCGACGGCGATGGGTTGCCAGATATTGTTCCTTCCGGATTCTACTTGATTATAATAAAATGCTACGGACCAAATCAACCCACATGGAGCTCCTCCTCAGTTTTTAAAATAACACAAAAATTAATGTAATAATTATAATCTTAGATAAACACCAATTTTGTTTAAAACTGGGATTATGTGTAATAAAATTTCGTAAAAATTCGAAATATAGAGTTGTTTTCTCAACATGGTTGTGGTTCTTGAAGACGGCAAGAAATATTCAACTTACAACCAATTCAGCTCTAGCTGAAGAACCACCAATCAGCAAACTTACACTTATATTCAGAGTCCATACATTATGTCATGTTTTTGGCATGCAGTCTTGTTTGACAATGTTTCACAATGTAACAGGGAGTTATATAATAAATACAAGTTGCAGACGATACACTGCCATGCAATCGACTGCTGTTTGCTATATAAATGCAACTCGATTGCAAGTTCATGAAGTTCAAGTTTGGCTAAATGATTTCGCGTTGCTCGTTGCTGTTTTTGTTCGCTACGCTGCTGATCGATGGCTGCAAAGCAGGAGTATGCCAGGATATTCTACAAAAATAAAATACTTATAGCTTCTGTGCTCACTTAACAGCGTAACTGGGACTACGAGCCCTTGTCCTTGACATCCTACAGCTCAGATGAGGATCTTTTGAAGATCGTTACAAAGGTGGATCGACTGGGGCGCAGCCAGTACGCATTTTCCATGACCCTGGACTGGAACTACGATGTGGATAAGGACACCATGGTTAAGATATTGGTTTTAATACTAAGTTCCTAACTGGCTAACAAATCGTTAATGGACAGGTGGAGGCAGACGTTTACCACTGCTCATCGGGTGCCGAAGACGACTATAAAATGATGCCCTGGTCCATTCCCAAACAGCCCTTTTTCGAATATCTAAACGCCTTCTACAAGGACGCGTTCATCAAGAATGTGGGTCACTGTTCCAATATGCTGCAATTCGAAGGCGATTTTGTGCCTCCATGGCCACGAAATGTTTACAAATTGGACAAATGTGTGGCCAGTGGCGAGGGACTGCCAGAAATCGCACCGGAAGGCTTCTACAAGTTAGACTATAAAATGAGCGGACAGGTGGATTGGGGTTTCACCCTAATCGTCAAGGTCTCGAATAAGGTTATTTAATATTGCGGCACCTTAAAAGGACAAACCTTTTTCTTCGCCTATACAAATGTACTATATTATGCAAAATGAATTGATTTAAATTAAATTGGTGTATTTTAATACTTATGTCTTTTATCTTAAATTATATTCATCAAAAAATAGCATCAATTAGATAGCAATTGGAATTTTATAGGCATTGCAAACATGACTAGTGTTGTAAATGTGTACTTGTGTAATTTGCTTAAATTGGATGCTATTTCAGTGACGATCAGTTGATAAGTTAGACAAGCTTGACATGATTTACACCTATTCCAACTACATTTATCTAGCAATGAGCACAATAGAACACAAAGTTTTCGTGCCACAAATGTTTTTCAAAGATTTATCTGAATTGGCATACTATAAAAGCATGTAGATTGCGACTAATATTGTCAATTTAAACAGAAATGCTTTCGTTTTGCGTTTCCTCGCTGTTATTAGTGTGCCTTTTTGCAAACAATTACAATGGCTGTGCAGCGAAGGTTAGTTAAATTAGTTCGTTAAACAATGCCAAGGATGTTCAATTATATGGTTCAAGGAATAAAAGTTCATTGTGCATCACTACTATATTTAATATAAAAATTGTTAATCGTTAGACCAACTGGGAGGCAACGCCATTGTCGATTGGAAGCAACACCACAAATCCCAGTGCCATGGACATGAATTTGCGAATTGAGCGCATTTCGAGGTCGGAATTCGGCTTTTCGGGCACATTCTTCTGGAATATTGATATGGACGATAGTGTGATGGTAACTCCTGGTCCGATATCATTTATTCAGAAGCACATAACATTTAAATACTGATTTCAGGTGGAGATGCGGGTACTGAGCAGTTACTCCGGTCATGAGTCTGATTACAAACTGACTCCTATGTCCATACCACCGCAGAAATTCACCGAATATATCAACACCTTTTACAAGGACTTGTTGATGCCGAACTTGGGAAATTGCACCGATTTGCCGGTCTATGAAACTGAATTTGTACCACCATGGCCAAAGACGACCTTCAATTTCACCCGCTGCGCTCTGAACGGCAAAGGATTGCCGGATATTTTGGCAGAAGGCTACTATAAAGCCGAAGCCATCATCACCGCCCTACCAAATGTGGAATTCACCGTTGCCGCCATTCTGCGGATCAGAACAAAAATGTTCTAAATACCCGAGAATTAAATCGCAGAACATCTTCCACTCTATTGCCAACTGTTTTTGCTGTTGGGCATTTCCGAGGTGTGGGCCGAATTCCAGCTGCGGCGAGATCGTCATAAAATCCGCCCGACTCAGGGCCAATAAATGAACCGGGCCAGGTAAAAATCGCTTTGAGCCAGCTGACGACGGGCGGGCAGGCAGGCAAGGCAGGCAGTTCGAGTGTGAAATTGGCAAGACATGTTTGGAAACTGTTGTGGTAAGAAAAAGAGGGTATGCGGCAGTGGTAGTTGAAGGAGAACTTCGAGCAAAAATTGCACCAAGTGTCGCTGGCACTGAGAAAAAGGCTTTTGCAAATGGAAAATGTGAGAGAAATCGAACTAGCTCAAATTATGCTCATATCAATTAAACTAATTGAAATAAATAATTAACAAAAGTGCAGCCCATAAGGTGGAAAGCTGCTTATACGAGACATTCTTAAAGCAAGGAAAGTGTCTTCATTTTTTTCCGTATACTTTCCCCTCGTTTCGACCCCTTGAAAATGCAATTCGAGTTGCATTTCAAGTGAAAACTCTGCACAGTTGCCTCGGCTAATTTATTGCAAATTGTTAAAAGCTACAACGACGAAGGCGACGCTGCTGCTGGCTGTCAACTGATGACAGCAGCATGCGGCTCCTCCCCGCCACAGCCCCCCTCGAAAAACTTGTGGCAGCCACTGTGTTTTCCCCATTTTCAGACTGCTCCGCTTGTTGGCTGGGGGAAAAATCAGTTTAGAGTGAGCCAACTTCGCATGGAAATCATTGGCCATTTCGCAGCTACGAAACAAAGCCACAGATCTCTGAAGATTGTACAACTGCATAGATTAAAAAAAAATTAATCGGACTTTAAGAAAACAACTTCTTTTCAATATTGAAATTGATCAAATCGAAGGAAATTAAATCGTCTTTATTCGTTTGCCATAAATACGCCAATAAAATATAGCAAGTCGTGTTCATATCAGCAGATTTTATATGCTTTTTAATGGTAGGCTTGTGCAAAATGGTGTTTTCATTACATTACAAGCCAGATGAAGATCTAACAGGGTTTTAAAAGCCATTTAAATCACTGCAACGCAACTCGACTGGCTCACCCTGATTAGCATATGGGGAACAGAAAACAGCAACGGCAACGGCAACCAATTTGCATTTAGCCACCATCAATCTAACTCGCACAGTATGCACTCGGTTGCCCCGCGAATCCCGCGGCTGTCCCATCTGTTCGCGGCTTGAACATTTTGCAGCATTGACAATATCAAATTGTTATCTGGCATAAAATAATTACAACGTTTTAATGCAGACAAAATAGTTGTCGTTGTCGATGGTTCGGCGGTTGCAAGTTGCTGTTGCTGTGGCTGTTACTGTTGCCTGTTGCCGTTGATATCATCGTGGTTGCTGTTGCCAAAGTTTAGCTGCCAATTTGAGTGCCAATAAAAGCGCGTGTGCGACAGCAAAGAGATTTCATTTTCGACGGACAACGTTGTCATGGTTAGTTGGAGCTGCTGGTGTGCTAATTAACCAAAAACGCAGCCAATTAGTTGGACTAACACGGAAAATTTGCGGTTCCATGAAAACTCCAGGGGTGCTGCACGCAGAAAAAATGTCGGGTCATTTTCGCTTTCTCTTTTTTTGCGCATAATAATTGTCCTTGATAAAGCGAGGAATGTGGAAAATTTCGTTTTTAAGTGAAATGTCTTCGAAAATTACTTTGCTTCTTACAAATTGAATCGTTTCAAAAGGCATAATTATATGGAAAATATTTATTAAATTGAGCAATCATTGAACATTATCTTCAAGTGTCATCAGTTCAATTTGCTCAAACGTGTTTGCAGTTGTTTTTGACATTTTATTGTGCTATTTTACTAGATAATTTTAGGGTTTTTATTTACAACTAATTATTTACATTTCCGACAGATTGTTTATTATTTGAATCACTGTTGGTCATTTATAAAGCAGGAACATGAAGCCATGAAATTGCACGCTAATGTAAAAAATACGACGAATAATTACTTCAACCGCATTAATCGAAACTTGTTTTCATTATAGCCTTTTAACGAAATCACTTAAATACTAAAATCAAAATAGAACTTGTTTCGAATTGACTCCTGATTAAGTGATATTCATTTTAATGCTTTAATCCAATTGCTTTTTTCAAAACGAGCTTAGTTTATTACCAAGATTTCCGTGCTGGAACTAATTTAACTGGAAGAGCTACGGAAAGTTGACCATCTAAGAGGCGCCTTCAATTAGCAATGCTCATTGATTGAAAATTTGCAAAATGAAATGCATTAGACTGGCACAGGCAAAGGTTAAATTATGTCTGCATTCACAGAGATGCGGCTACAATAAACAAACACGAAAGGGGCAAAGGGGGGGATAGTCAGTCAGAATGCAAAGCTTGTTAAAATTCATGTAATGCATTAACAAAGAACAACAACCACAAATTACACACACACACACACACATACACACTGATGAGGCAAAAGGGGGGCTGGATCCACTGAGTCAAAAGGCCGACGGGCTGCAATGAAAAGGCAATTAAAGCGCAGAGGCGGAGAAGGGGCAGGTTCCAGTGGGGGCAAAATACAGAGGTTGGGGATAATGCCGCTGCTGCTGCTGCTTTGCTGTTGCCGTTGCAGCAATCAATTGCATGCTTCAATGGACAAATATACGAGCATAGACAAGTGGAGAGCCAGCTCAGATAGACATGGCCGATACGGACGCCAAAGCAAATGCGTTCGCCCAGCTACAGTGGAGCTCACGTACAGCAGACTGTGACTTTACAGCCTCCATCTCGAGTATTTCGAGATGAGTCGTAAATTGCACAAGCCTTAAGTTGTACACAAAAATCAAAATGATATGTCTAACTTTCTTCACTTTAATTTTATTTTTGAACCATGAATGGTTTATTTATTTTCCACATCAGTTCGAGCGCTCTTATTGATGTCCGCCTGTAACTGCGTTTCTTCATCTGTGTGTTTGCAGCGTATGTATCTGTGAATTGTCCACAGCAGACACCCGTGGGACGGACGGAAAAGCGACTAGATGGACTCAACTAGATAAAAACCTTAGTTGGCTTGGTGCCCGGCCAAAATGAGGAATACAAGTGGGGCTGGAGAGGCATTGAGTTGGGCTGGGCTGGGTTGGGTATGGTTTGGATTGGTTTGGCTGGGTGTTCGGTGTTCGAGGATTGAAGCTTGTAGCTTGTAGCTCCAACCGTCTGCATCTTCATTCGCCTCCTTCGGCGGCGGCAGTCAAGTGGAACGGCACAAAAACTTGTTAACTTTTTTCGCTACAAAAGGTCCGGAGAGTGCCAAGTTGAGTCAATCAACTGGCAACCTGCCCCTGTCCCTGCCGCTGCCACTGCCCCTTGCTCCAGCTTCTCCCCTCTATCTGTGCTCACTTGGCAGCAATTAATCAAATGGGAGACCCCGAATCCAGCTCGCAGCTTCAGGCTTTATTGTTGCAATCAAGTCATTTACCTGCAAAACGCTTAATTATCACTTTTTGGGGCGGCAATTAGCAATTAGTAGACAAATTCTTCAAATGCCACACCTACTTTGGTACTACTACTCCTTTCGCTTCCGCAGTGGCTCTCGTCCAAAGCCATATTTCTCCCCATACAGTGGACTAATCCCTGCCAGCAGTTGGTGGGCGGACTCATAGACGGTGTCACAATTGGCCACCTCATCGGCCACATCATCAAAGTTATAGGACACGATCCGATAGCCAGCGCTACTCAGTTGCACACAATAGATGACCTGCTCCAAGGTGCGAATATTGATGTAGGCCACCCCGCGACAATGGGGAAGGAACTCGGCCACGATCAAGTGGTCCGCAAAGTCCTGGCACGAGTCCACCATCCTTTGCGCCTCTCGCAGTGCGTGGAAGTCGTTTTCGTCACTCTGGACGAGAGCCATTCCTAGAAAATGCTATGCTCGAATTTTGAACAGAAGAGGCTACGGATTTTGACAGATCTCAACATACTAGTTCATATAGTTATGTTATAACTTATTCTGGTTATTTCCCATTCCTGGATTTAATTATTACCTGCATTAAATCAATAAAGCGTTGCAACGAAGCCCTCATCTCACTGTGATATTAATTACGTGAAATTAATCCAAAATAACCCGAATCCAAATCACATCCGTATGTATCGCACAGCCTTCTTAGCTAGGGGTATCTTAGTAGCATCGGAATCCCAATGATGCACAGCATTCCCTTTTCGTTTTCAAGACATTATTCCGTATTATGCATCCGCTTAACTCCTCGCTCGGCTCCTCTTAAGCCTTTCACCCCCCAACCGATTCCCTACCATATCTGCCTGCCTTGACTTCCTCCACTCAGAGAAACCCAGCTCAAGTGCTCTGGGACCTCGGGGTCTTAGTCTCCTGACGCTGCCTGCTGCCGTTGGAAAACAAAAAGGACAAAAGCAAGGAGTCTCGGGCTCAGACTCATGACAATCGAATGAAGAGTAAGGAGAGACCAAGGGATATATATGTATGTACAGGGGAAGAGGGAAGCTTGACTTGGTGTGATTTCGTACACAGCAAATAAATATATAGTTCCATATAGTTTTTATCAACAGTAATCAAGATACATGGCGGCACAGTGATTTTGACCTTTGAAACAGTTTTGGGTGGAACATAGAGCAATAACATGTACTTGATTCGGTAAATGATAAATATGGATTTTTTATTTAAAAAAAACCTTGAATATATCCAAATTGTTCACAGTACATATCCACAATCCACAGCAGCAGCATCTCTTCCCTTACTTTTTGCTGATGAAGTTGAACAATTTGAGATACGAGCTGAGAAGGAAGGTAAGCGCACAGAAAGAGACGGTCGTTGGGGCGGGGGAAAGAGACGGGTTACTTGGCAGACGGAACGGACCAAAAGGGACGGACAGCTTACGGACAGCGTACGGACAGAGAGGACTGGGGACCGAAGACCAAAGACTGTGGAACGTTCATTTAGTTGCCCATGGCCATGGCAGGCAAGCCAAGCCGTTTTCTGGCCCGGCTACCAGACAAAGTTCCTGCTCTCTGCTCCGTCTTCCAGGGGTCCCGCCCCACCCGCCTCTCCTGCCCACCCTCAAACAATCAAGATGCTAAAAATGAAAAACTTTTTGCGACACACACGCAAATTTTTCTTTAATTTTCCCTTCTGTTGCCGCCTAAATAGTTGATGAATTTTGCGACAGCTGGGCGGGAAAAGTTGTGTTCAATTTCCTTTTCACACGGTGGAAAATAAGTTTGCATAAATATGCATAATATTATGATAGCCTGGTTTTTATAATAAGCCATTCCATTATCTGAGTTATGAAGTACAATCTTTGGGATTTTTTGGGATTTTTGATTAGTGGTAGTTTTGAAACTTCTCTTGTTACAAGATTTGTACCCCTCCTCTGGGCATATTGACGATTTATAGAAATGGTCGTTTTATTAAAGTCTTGAGTGTACGAATCGTTTTTCACTGTGTGTGCGAAAGTTCAGTTTCAATTTATTTTAATTGCGCTGACAGTTTACGATCTCCCCCCGCTTGCATCTCACTCGCACGACTGCAATCAAAAGGAATAAATGAGTGAGCGGATGAGAAGGCGACTGCGGAGAATAATGGTTTTGCGATGGAATGGAATGGGATGGGATGGGATGGGATGGGCTGGTAAGGGAGTTCGGTACATGACCATAATCCGACTTTAACTCTTTCACCGATTCCCCGTCCCCACCCGCGGGGCCTTTCTGCCTTTCTACCGCTCCTTGGCCCACAATTGTCGGAGATTTATGAACGCCTCTCGCGCTTTAAATTGAATTCAATATTTTGCAAGCGCACTGCTGCTGCTGCTGCAGTAACAACGGCAAATTGTAAACAACAAAGTTTTTTGTGTTCCGTTGACAGTTGCACTTTTTTCATGGCGATTGCACACTTTATGGCTTTCTTTTTTCGCGCTGAAATGGATTTTCATTTTCTTTTTCCTTTTACCTACACAATTTTCGCCAGCTACATTTACTAAAGGTGTGAAAGACACCTAGTGGGTGTGCCGGCAATTGAGCTGTTTTGCGAACATCCTAGGTCATCCGATTAAAGACAAAAGTGCATACCTGCAATGAAAAGGAGAAGGAAAATTCCAAATTAGTGAAAAATGTCTAAGGGTTCGCTTTTAAAGATGTGTATTTAAAATTCTGTTCATGGGCTGTTCTTTAAAAACCATCTGAGTTCCATGGGAAATCGTTAAAGTGGAAAAAAGGGTATGCCGTGACTTTATCTTTGCAGTTCCTTTTTGAGATCGCTCCAATTTGCGGATAACTGGGTAATTTTCGCTCCTCTCTACCCTGTTATTACGGAAGAAGGTTGCGGGAATGACAGGCAAGTTCAATTCAAGGGGTGTCGGTAATGCTGTCTGTCCAGATACATTTTCGCACCTTTAAAAGGGATTTACTTATACTTGAAGCTACTTTTAGGTTGTTGTTCTTATTTGTCGGTTTTTCTGGGTGACTAGTGGCATGTAATGCAGATCTTGGGCTGCATTGAAAACGATTATGAAGGAAAACAAACAAATCCAAGTCACATTCGCATATCAATAACTGCAAGAGATTTAAGATATACGATTTAAGATGCCACATTGAAAGCAACAGCAAAGTTAGCAGAAAGAGCCGCAGCAACCAAAGCTGCACCTGCAGCAACCTAGATGCAACATTAAGAACACAGACAGCAGCAACATTAACAACTGCAACACCCTGCAACACCGTATTCAACCAGAGCAACAACAGCAACAGAAAGCAACTTCAACAACAACCAGAGCAACATCATCTGCAATGGCAACACGTGCAACACCAACAGCAACAGCAACACCAACAGCAACAGCAACACCAGATGCCCCCACGTTGAAAATTCAAAATGTTTTCATTCGAGTGAGCACAACAACAACAACAAAAACAACAACTACAGCTTTCGACACGGTAAGTTGGCTTCGCTGATTTTTTTCAAGTCGCTATTGTTGTTGCCATGTTTGCCGCCAGGGCGCTACATTTTGTTGTTGTTGCCTCCTTCTTGTTGTTACTTTTTCCGTTCACATACATTTGTTGTTGTTGCTCTCGTTGTTGTTGCCTCTTCTGCGCCAGTCAATTCAATTTGAAGCCATTTAGCATCAATTTGCAGTAATTTGACGTATAAATTATGTCAAATTGCCGAGCAGCTTGTCATTGGGTGTATTTCGTTGTTGTTGCTGTTCTCACTCCGTCAGCCGCTCGTTTTCGGTTCCTTTGTTGTTGCTTTTGCACCTTTTTACCCTCCCCGATTTTGTTGTTGTTATTGTGAGAGATTGTGCCCGCCAGGTAAAAATCGAAAAAAAACGAAAAAATAAACTAAGGTAAGAAGACAAGAGGTGAGGAAAGATGCGGAGCAAAGCGGCATCATCATCAAGTCCCAGTTGCCAGTTAAACAACCGCCAACCCTTCGTCCTTCCCCCTAAAATCCATTGTGTGAGTTCGATTCCCCTCCTCTTTGCCATGCACAGCAACAAACATTTTAGTTTTTGATGTTTGGCAAATATTCGCATATTTCGCCAAGCAAAATATGTAATTTTTTAAGGATATACTATGTGAATAGGATATACTTTATTCATATATTAGAGAATTCCAGTTAATAAACTCAAAGTATGATTCAAGAAAACGTAGTATGTAAGCTTAATCAATAGACAAAACTTGACATTTTAAGGTGTTTTACCATAAATGAAAGCCCCTTTTTCTCACAGTGTTTACCTTATTCTCCCCTCTTTCTCTGCGGCACGTTCGGCACTGTGTGAATTTTATTTTCGCTTGTCGACACAAAAGAATTTCACTTAATACTCAAACGAACGCACACACATGGAGGAATAAGGGTCCAGAGCAGAGGTTGAGCACTAAAAAGTGCCTCATAAAGCCGATATATAAACTAATGTCAGAAGAAGGGTAAGCGGGGGAATCGGGAGGACTGAAAGAGCAGAGGGGCAGGAATTTTTACGCTTTTGTGAATGTTAACATTCAAAGATATCATCAAAAAATTCACTGGAAACGCTTGTACAATAAAAACAAAACTGATAAGACACAAAGAAAAAAAAAACAGGGAGGCAGAAAGAAGCTGACGATGCAGAAGCATCGAAGATCGTATTCCCCTCTTGTTAAGGGGGAAGTAAAAAAAAGCAGAGGATTTTGTCGCCTCTTTTGTGGATGAGTTGCTGTTGCCGTTCACGCGTCGTAAACTCGGTAGCAGTCGCAACACCAACAGATACAAGAGTCACAAAGACAATGCACAGGGGGAAAACTTCCGCAAATATCTGGAGTACACTGATAAAAACAAGCGGTGTTAGGAAGATCTGTTAGATCAAGATCGGTTAGATCAAGATCAAGATTTGTTAGGAGTGAAACTAATTGCGGTAAGTACTTTTAAGCTATACATTTTAAACACATTGTGTCTTCTGCAGAAAAAATAAAGACAGCAAATATCGAGGAACCTGTCATCAACAGGGTGATGAGCTATGCCAGTTTCTCTTTACCCAGCGTTTTACTGTCCCATGACTTTTCCGACGCACTGCAGGCCATTTGAAGAATTTCCATTTGCATTTTAATTAAGTGAATGGACAAATGACCCAAGGGGCCGAAAGCTAAGCGGGGGTGGTCAATGGTCGGGCGGAAAACTTTATTATCTGTACAAGCAATTATGCATATCATAAAACACTTTAAACATTAATGAGTGTCGGCAGCAAATGGAAGACAGAGATGGGCATGGTGGAAAAGAGAAAGGAAAAACGACGAGTCATCTTTTGGCTGCTGAAGTACTTTTTCAGCTTCCTCCCCACTTGTGGCCCAAAGTCGAGAGTCGTTTAAATATCATCCATTTGGACCGACTCCCAAAGGGATTGGGAGAGAAAAATTTAAACTTTATGGACAACGAAGAAGATCATAAATTGGCTATCTTTATGGGTTTGTATGTTCACAATAATGATGGATATATTTGAATGTCAACAAAATTGTATCATTAAGAAAAAATCCACAGTTCCTTTACGAAACAAGCAAATGGTTTCTTTATAAGCACATAGATTAATAAATGTTTATATTGATATTTTAGCTGTGCAGTACTGATACATAATTTAACAGAGAACAATAGTCAATTTAAACAGCCTCACTTTTTCTATTGATTAAACAAACAAACATAAATCACTGGCCTGGTCTCACTGATTTGCACTGATTGTCTATCGTTAATCGTCCGCACTTCCATCTCTAAGTGGACAGGCAACAACGAAACGCGAGCAGAAAGCGACGCCCCCAAACAGATTCGGTTAGTTAGTTTATGGGCAAAGTCAGCGTGTTGCCACTTTATTGCCTGCTTTACATTTCTGTTAGTTTTCGGTCCGCACCCAGGGGCAAAAACACAAACACAAACATACACACACTCACACACACACACACTCCCATGCAAAAGGCAGCAAACAAGAAGTGTGTGTGTAAATTCGTGTTATGCTTTGCGGCCAAATTAAAATTCGACTTAATCGTTTAAACATTTAAAAGGCAAACTAAAAGCCAGCAGGCGTCGCAAAGTTTCCCATTTCCCCCAGCTCTCCCATCTACTCCACCAACACTCCCTTCTGTACAACCACCTTGCCCACCACCTCCTTCTCCATCTCTTCCTTTTTCCCCATCCCCATTCCCATTCCCATCCCATTGCCATTCCCAATCCTATTCCCATTCCCGTCCCCTTCCTTTTCCACATCCTTTTTGCTTTTTTTGCATGCGCAGCTCAACATGCGCCAAAAGTTGTAGCAGCCTGTTGCTGTCTCGCTCGCACAGCCAGGCTTTAATGAGTGAGCGCCATACAACAAACATGGCTGCCGCTGCTCGTTCTCTTTCGCTCGCTCTCTCTCCCTCTCTCTCTCTCCCTTTCGCTCTCTCTCGCTCGCTCACTCTTTCCCCCTTTGCACTCCAAAAACTCCATTACAAGAGCAAAAGAGATGGCCTGAATGGAGATTTTTACGGGATAAATACGCAAAATGAAAGAGAGGGGAAATGCTCGTTTTGCACAATTCAAAAATGTTAATTAAAATTTAAATGCTTACTGCGTGGAACCCAAGGCAAATTAAGCTTTGATTGATTCATCACAGGACTTCTGATAAACCGGCCGAATATATGTAAGTAATAAAAAGTTGCCTTGACAATCGTCCCGAGTTTCAATTACCACGAAAATAACTTAACTACCGCTCGGGGTAATAAACCCAAATGGTCCGGAAAATAAATGTGTATATTAAAGCATAAAATATATATGTGCGAACATTAGCTGCAGCAGCTAAATTATAAATCCAATTTATGGGCCATTATATTCGTGGTGCCAAAAAAAATACGTAAGCTAAAAATGTAAGGCCCAAAAGAAATTTAGTTAAAGTGTAAGCAGCTTGTCCGCTAATTTCAAATTAATGTCTCTATTTTATTGCATATTATTTTGTAAATTAATGTTATACATTTGTGTTTTGTTGAGCTTTCAACTTGAATTTGAGTAAGAGTTAACTCCACTTTTCATTGGCTCTATAATAAATCCCATTTATGAGCCATAACATTTAGCCTCTCGCAAATTGATGGGAAAAATGAAAACAAAAGCGGTATTATTGAATTGTAAGCAGCTTATATAATTAATTACTCTAACTTAACGGCTTTCCTTTAATGAGCTTAGTTCTACGGCGTTAACGTGTGCATAGGCAATATTTAATAACACAAACTTGAATCCGATTTTCGTTTTCTTTGCCACGAGCCAGTTCTAATCATCAGTGGGTATCAGCTTTTAAACCGAGTTGTTTATTTATTTATGTAATTCCAGTTCTGTTTTTTTTTACCAAGCTTAAAAATTGAATAACGGGCATTTATTTGGTTCCGTTGCGATTTGGTCTTTATACGAACAATTTAGTAATGCTAATTTAGTTGTTTGGGCCAAGATTGCTCCTAATGTCACGCTGACATGCAATAAAAGATTTTTTCCCATTGTTTCTGTTCATGTTTTTACAGCTCATTATTTTGGGAAGGTTTCCACCTCCGACAAAAGAGGGCAATGAAAAGAATTACAATTGAGCGTGGTGGTGGTGCTGGGGACTCTGACAAAATGCGAAGAACTCGGAGGCAGTGTTGTTGATAGCAATCAACATCAATTAAAGCAGCTGTCTGTCTTGTTGCTGGCCGTGTAATTATATTTGCTGCAGCGCGTTTTTGGCTTCACCATCATCGTCATCATCATCATCATGGTCATTAGCCGTGTATTGTGCACCGCCAGCAACATGTTGCTGCTGCGCCTCCAAGTAGCAGCAACTGACCGTCCGTTCGTTTGTCCGCCTGTCCGTTTGTCCGTTTGTCCGCCTGTCCGTCCGTTTGTCCGTCCGTCAGCTCTGATGGCAACTGTTGATAATTATAATCCGCTTGTGGTTAAAATGGTGTTGCCTACCTTTCTGGCGATAAGCGCGCATGAATAATTATGTTGCCGCTGTCTCTGAGTTGTTGCTGCTGCTAATGTTGCTGTTGCTGCTGTAGCTGTAGCTGTAGCTGCAATGTCGCCTGCGCGACAACTCATGAATAATTAATGCACTACCGCGACTGCCGTCGACTGGTTGAAATGTTGCTGGCGTAGTAGCAGCAACAGCAGCAGCAACTTGTCTTGGTATCTTTTCAATTACAGCAGGAAATCGTGAATTACTGGGGACTAGAGCTAGAGCTACTGGCCATAAGAGAGCAAATGCTGTTCCCATTGTTGATTAAACCTGACAGTCGTTGTTGTGCTGTGCAAATATTTATTAAATACTCAGCAAATCTTCTCAGATCCTCAAAAAGGGTGCCGACAACAATTAACACTTGAATAGCAGTGCCGGCAGCAACAGCAGTAGCTGTAGCGCAGCTATTATCAACTCAATTTGAATAAATTCGCTCGTGACACAAAAGTAAAGAAGGGGAAAACGCTGAAATTCCCACCTTAAATTAAATAAGCAATGAGTTTGTCTCGCAAAAAGAAAAAAAAATGGGGGAAAAAACTGAAATAAAAAGGTTCGGGCGGTCGCACAATTGGCACTTGAAAGGCATCAAGATACAATGGCAATAACTGCAGCAGCAGCAGCGGCGGCAAACAAGCTAAACAAGTATTGCTGTGCCGAGAAGCAGCAGCCGCCGCAGCAGCAGCAGCAGCAGCAACAGCCGCAGCAACGAAGGCAGCATCATCAGCAGATAAAAGGCAGACAAAAGGCACGAGATGTGAGAGACGTCTAGGGTTGCTGCTGTGCCGCCGCTGCCCCTGCTGCATGGGAATTGAATTCCATTCAAAAGACGGCAGCAGGCTGTTTGTCATACTTGCAACAGCAACAGCAACAACAGCGGGCCAAGCATGGCCAAGAAGCAGAACCCAGTGAAATGGCTTACATGCATTTCTCTGCCTCTCCACCAGCAGGCGTGTTGAGGTGTGTTGAGATAGCATCTTGCATAAAATTACTGCCAGTGGTAGGAGCAACATCGGCATCTCCACCAGCAGCAGCAGCAGCAACAGCAGAAGCAGCAGCCACCAGCGACGTGGTTGCCTGATGCTATGCCACTGATAGCCTCGAAATTGTTGGCAGTTGCAATTTGCTGTTTGGAATTTTAAGCGAGCCAACAATGAAGTTCAAACCAAAGTGAGGGAAAGACAAAAATCAAGAAACAAAAAAAAAAAAACCACAACCAAAATGAACAAAAAGATAAAAAATAAACCAAGGGAAGCCAAAGGATGAAAGCCAGAGGAGCCCGACAGCAACATCATTCTCATGCTCATCAGCAAAAAGTTTAACCCGTCACTGGTTTCGATTTTCGATTGCTTTTAAAAAGATTCGATTTTCAGGACAAAGGAGGTCTACATTGTTGCAACTCAAATTGGTTTTATCCACCGCTTTTGGGAGCAACTCGACATGTATGCATAATGCTGGTAACTTTATTGGATGGTCATTATCATTTTGATTTTTATTTGGCCTAATGCGTTCTAAGAACCATATTTTCCTAAGTTAAAGACAATTTCTCTGTATGATGATCTTTAGGTTGAACTTTAGTGTTTAACCAATATAGACAATTTAAATTAAGTTAATTGTAAACTGTTTTAAATCAGTCACTTTTAAACAGCTGGTGTGAAAATGGGTTAAGTTTTGGCCTCCGTATTCGAAGTTGCAGACTGCGCTGAATTGGAGACCTGCGATTGCAATAAAAGTCAGCAGGCAGGCACTAATGTGTTGTGTTGCCGCTGCCCACCACTCCATACCCACTGTCCACTATACACTATCCACTATACAGTATACACTATCCACTATCCCCCATCCACCTATCCACCATCAACGTGGACGACCAACTCCTGCTGGAGCTCCATGCTCCTTCCCCCATCTGAATTTTATTTCAGTGGTGCCTTTCGTTTTTATTTATTTTTTATTCTTCAGCTCGCTTCCATTCAATTTCTGCTGCTGCCTGTGCCGCCATCTGAGCTTTTGCATAAGCCCGTAGTTCATTTGAGAGAAAGAAAAACCAAACAAAACAAAACCGAGCCAAGTCAAAAAAAAAACAAAAAAAAGAAGCTAAACAAACCAAAGGCGAGGGAAAAAATCGAAATAAGATATAGTCAGTCGGGTAGCGGCAGCCAGCACGATTTATGTTAATCAGACAAGAAGACTGGGGATTTTTGGCGGGGAATTCGTGGACTCAGCGCCAGCCAGTTGCATTCAATCATCTTTTATCTGGCAGGCATCGGCGCGGTTTTGGGGGTTTTGGTGGGGATTTCTGTTTTCCTTACGGTATTATGTATCGCTTAGTTGCATTTGGCGCACTTTCGGATTTTTCCCTTTCCTCTTTTCCCCTTTCCCCTCTCCCATTGCCCAGTCAAAGTTTGATTCGTGTTTTCGGATTTTTTCGCTGCGAGACTTCAATTTGATTTGCCGCTATTGATTTGATTTCAATTTGCCAAATGCTCTGGCTATTTATCTCAATGACGCACTCACTCTTTGTCCCTTCATTTTCCGATTTGCTCAGTCAGGGAGAAAGTCGCATGCAATGGGAAAGCAAATACCAGAAAATGCTATTCAAATGGGCAATTCAATTGAACTACATTTTTGTGCAGGATAACATTATTTTCAATAATTAACATTCTAATAGCAATTACTACAAACCAGATCACTTTTGTAAAATAAATGATTGTATCTTACGCACCATTCATTGAGAATATGGATTAAAATCAGAGTAATTGAATACCGACCTGCAACGAGACAACAATAAAAGTATTCAATTAATTACAATTGGAATTAAATAACTACATTCATTAAATGTTCAATTAAAAGCTTTCCCAGTGACGCACACATAATAAATCGAAAATGTATGGCATGATACTGATGAAAGCGAATAAATGGAAAGATGAAAAATAGCAAATTCTGCCTTAAATTCATTTAGCATGTTAAATTTTAAGTGCCCCACAACAGCATCCTCCTATTGCTGCACATTCACTTTTTGTTTAGTTTGTGATGCTTTGGTTTTCCCTTAAATAATTCACAAACATTTTCGTCCAAAATGCTCGGAAAAAAACATATTTTTGCGTTTTTTGCATAAGAGGAAAACGGAGAGGCAAGAGCGGATCTGAATAAACTGAGGCGCATCTGTCAGGGTGCGTCAACCATAAAAATTCTATGTATTTTGTACTTTTAAACTCCATTTAATTTGCATTTTAGCTAAGGCTGAGTAATCTGTTTGTTTATTGTTCGCAGCATAATCCAATTATTGCATTCCATATTAAGCTGGTCACTCTGTAAAAATAGTGTTACCTTAAAAACCAAACGGTTTCATATTTAGGCAGTTTTTGACATTGGAATTAGATTTTCCTCGCTGGTAATCCCCTGAATCACCCTAACCAACAGGAAAACATGCGAATGACTCGCTGACTGAACGGCTGAAATGCTAAAATGACTGAATGCCAGTCCGCCTGTCCGACTTGTTCTGCTTCTCCCCTTCTTCGTCTTCTTTTTTCCTATGCAGTGCAGCTACAAAAGTAAAAAATAAAGAAGAGGAAGAGGAAGAAGATATATAGTAGTTGTGCCATTTTTGCGCTTTTCATGCACTTTTTGCGCCGGATGTGCAGCGCGGGGGAAAAAGTGCCGAAAAAGAGAGCGCACAGCAGAAGAAAATTGTAATTTAAACAAAGCAACGAAGAAAATGGCACAAAATAAACGTTGGCCACTCCCACACGCCCATCTCACTATTTTACAATTTTTTTGTATATACACACATATAGTTTTCCTTTTTATATTTTTCGCTACCCCGTTGAACTAAAAACTTTTCGCCCAACGCCATCGTTTGTGTGGGCGGGGTAAATGCGTTTTTGATGCTGTTTTTTGGGTGGGCGGTTGGTAGCATTTTGCTTTTTGCTTTTTGCATTTTGCAGTTTGCATTTCATTTTATTTTCCTTTGCCACTGGCACTCGGCAAGTTAAAGCATTAAGCTGATGCCAATTATGCATTGTTTGCCTGCTCCAATGCCCAGTATTTTTTTTTTTCTTTTCATTTTTTGGCTTTACAAATTACAGGAGCGAGAGCGATTGTTGTTAACCCTCTCGGTTGGCTTGCTATCGCTGTTGGGCAAAATTGAAACAACTTTTGCAATTACTTTCCGTAAACAAAACAAATGTGCCCGAGTCACGCAATCGCCCCTGTCTGTCCCCAAAACAATAATTACCCGGGCATTGTTCATGCATACATTCATATAATGGTAATGACAATAACGAGGTTGAGCGCTTTTACCGGCTTGGTGGAGGGTGGTGAAAGGTGGTAAGGGTAAGTGGGCATGGACGCGGCGGGATGACAGGTGGAGGCAAAGTTGCTCGTCTTGAACAAGTTGTTAAATTGTTATTTTAGCGCTTTGTTTTCCCTTTCCTCGCTCGCTGGCCGTCGAGTGATTAACTCAGGTACGTGCGGTGAAGTGTTTTCCACCCTTCAATCACATTCGAAAAGAAAAGGCTTATGCAAATTCTAAATTCCATTGAAAGAAGAAAAAACATATTTCTACAGCTTAAATGGAGTTTATTCAGTTGGGCATTGATATATTTTAATAGTACGATAAAGTTGATGAACTTTCAATTGCAAAGCTTCTTATGTTGCAGGGTTCTATGGTATAGAACCTATCCTATATGCATAATGCATTATGCATAATGCATTGAAAATGCGTGTATCGGATACATGCACTCACCCCCAAAGTGGCAACTTGCCGTCCTGCTCATTTGCGTGGCACAGCCAGGGCCAGGGGGTGTGTGCAACAATTTTATTATTACGTTTATTTGACTTGCATATGTGCATACACAAGCAGTTTTCCACAGGACCAGCAGCAGACAGGCGACAGGACGAACAGGACAAGCAGGATTGCAATTTGCATTGTCGGTTGGGAATGTTGTGAATGGCTCGTAAATCCACACAGAAACCGAGATACTCACGTATGCAAACGCCTCGGGCAATACTATTAAATTTGGAACAAACAAACACACCAGGAAGTATAGGGCGTCTACTCCATTTAATTACGCCCTGCAATTGACATGGAATTGTTTCAACTGGACAAAATTGGAGCCCGCAAAACACCTTCATTGTTGTGCGAGTATGTATATGTGGTATCGGGATTCCATTCAGGCCATTTTACCCACAATTCACCCACTCGATAATTCAATTATGCATGCCATTTAATGTGTCAGCCTTGTGTGTTCCTGTGTGGACGGGGATTGGGATGAAGTCAACTAATTTCAATTTTCCATAAAGCGAACATTGTTCCAGGCCAAACCGCACCCAATCTAATCAATTTTGCATATACTGCACAAATTATATTTGTGTTTTGTCCACTCCATTTTGCAATTCAAATATTATTGTCCATTCGAGTGGTGTGCGTGTTATGTGGTTTTCGCTCCTTCCTGCAGATTACAACTCCCAGTCACGTACTGTGAAGTATGAGAATTCCGAAACCAAATTGAGAATGCCTTTTTATGGAAAATTCTTGGCGCTCTTTTCACGTCCACAGGAGTCAGTTGTGTGCGAGATGCCCTGATTTGGTTGCAATAGTTTTATTTAACTGGTTTTTACCCACTCCAAATAAAATGAAAGATTGCTTCTAAGTTTTATGTAAAAGGTTCTGTTTGGTTCTAAAAGGTAAAAATAAAAGTATATCTTGAAGTTATAATTAATTTGCCTCATAATTACCATTTATTCCGTGGCTATTTGCCCACTATATTATTATTA